AAACTAATTAAAGTGTGCATGACAATATACAGTGTTACCTCAGGTTAAGAACTTTATTCGTTCTGGATGTCTGTTCTTAACCTGAAACTGTTCTTAACCTGAAGCACCACTTTAGCTAATGGGGTCTCCTGCTGCTGCCGCGCCACCAGAACACGATTTCTGTTCTCAACCTGAAGCAAAGTTCTTAACCTAAAGCACTATTTCTGGGTTAGTGGAGTCTGTAACCTGAAGTGTCTGTAACCCGAGGTTCCACTGTACTAGAGAAAATAATTGGGGGGAAATGCATTATATTGGGGAAAACAGTTTGCAACAATGTGCATATCAGGCAAAATTGCCTACAAGAATGTGTTTATTGGGAAATCAGAAAATGAAATTGACAGATTCACTTCCCAAAGGCACGCTTCACTGGGGAGTCATTTTTCTAGGGTAAGGTTTTTTGTTTTTTTAAAAATAATTTTTATTAAATTTTCGATTTTAACAATCCAATCAAATCACATTCAGTATTCCAAATTATACAAATACATATCATACAGTCCAAATATTCTGCCAAATTATAAATTTTTGTTGGGGCTTCCCATGCTTCAAGTTCGGTGGTGTTCCAATAATCTTATGTTTCTACTGCCTTGAGTTTCCATTAGTTCCTTCTTTAAATCTTCCTGTTGTTATCCTTCCTCTTTTGTGGCCTCTGAGTTGTTTCCACGGGCGAGTTGAAATAAACAATAATGTGCTTCTGTGTAAAATTTGTATGACTCTCCTCTTTTTTTTTTTTTGCAGCTGGTAAGTCTGTTGTTTGCAGAATGTCCTCACATGCTGGTGTTTATGCCAAATCAATCCAAAAGTCCTTCTCTGGTGGCAGACGCCATCTTCACTCAGTTCCAATAAAATAAAATCAATCCAAAAGTCCTTCTCTGGTGGGAGACGCCATCTTCACTCAGTTCCGATAAAAGAAAATCTGGGCGTTTGCTCATTAATTTTCTCAGACAGGTTGCATCAAACATTAGTCTTTCTAGGGGAGATTTGGCAAATCGGCCTTGAAGTACAGATATAATAACAAAGTAAGAGCTCATCTCCCTCAAGACTGTTTATCTCTGCAACTCGTTCTTATCCCGTAATGGCGGATCCCAATTAAAGAATGCGTCACATCACCCTTCTCAGAATCCGTCCAAAGTTTTTAGGTGTCTCTCCAGTGGCTAATGAGATCCTGCTTCTTTCTAATATCAATATTTGGAGAGTCTTTTATCTTCTTCGAAACATTTCAAAAATCAAAAGCTTTAGTTATATAGTTTTTCTAGGGTAAGGTTACCAGATTTTTTTCAATGAATCCGGGGACACTTTTCAACTTCAATGGATTTTGTATGGGGACTGATCTGTAAATCCGGGGACTATCCCTGGGAAACGGGGACGTCTGGTAACCTTGGTCTAGGGCTGGCTCTGGGTGGGGAAAGAAGCGGTTGTCCATGGAGCTCTGCCCTCTTTTTATCCATCTATGAGTCTCCCTTGCCAATGGTTTTTAGGAAACAATCCATGTACCTCCTCCATAATGGCCACCCAAGAACTGGTCTTCTCAGTGGTGGCTCCCTGTTTATGGAATGGCATATCCTCCAATTTCCTGCTGACCAAAATCGGGACACTTGTCTTTTCATATGGTGTGAGCTAGCTGATATGTGCGAGAGCGCGAGAGCAAAAAACTGGGACATCCCGGGATCCAGTTAGAAGCTGGGGTGCCTTCTGTAATTCCAGGATGTCCTGCTCAAATTGGGACAGTTGAGGGGTCTGGAATATTATTGTCAGAGAAGTACACCAGCTCCACCAGCTGAAGCATCTCTGTTTTTCCAGGCCTTTGACAATTAATCTGAAGAGAAGTGAGCTACCTGCTTGAGTGCCCATCTTTCTGTGGGGCTTTTATAAATATTATCGGATGAACATATTTGCAAGTCAATGGCTTAAGAGACACAGCGCAGCACAACCGACACAGGAGCATAAATCGCGGCTGCAGACCTAGGAGCTACACCCACCCGCACGTACATCCAAGTTATTGATTTCCAGAATTCCTCTGAAGGGATGCCAAAAAGAAGCAAAACATACTGAGGAAAAACCACTTTTCCTTATGTATTAAATTATCTTTCTATGAAGTTAGAACAAATAGTGAGGTATATAGTGGGCAATAGAGACATAAATCTTCAGTCGCACAAATCGATTGCTGCCTTGTTCTTCTATTTCCAGTAAATAACGGTCTTGAGATCTTTTTTGTGGTGGCACTACAGTACAGTCTGCTAAGGGAACACTGGCGGTGCTTTGTTTTGTTTCCCCCCGATACGATCAATAGTGCTGCCACTCTTGAAATCATTGCACCCAGCTTATTTCCTATAGATGAGTGGCAACCGGTAGGATCAAAGGAAATTTGTGGGCGGTGTCCCCCACTCAGAACCTCCATCCAAGCATATATATGATCAGTAACAAGAAGGCTGGCAACCTCAACCCTGCCATATGGGAATGCCTTGCAGATGATTGCAGTGCCTGGAGACTGACAGTCAGATCATGTATCCACAGCAGTGACCAGAGGAGGAATGACCACTGGGAGAAGCACAGAGAGAAGAAACGCCATGGTGCATCTGCAGCAGCACAACTGGATGCTTTCATTTGCCCCAGCTGCAACAGAACATGTCTCTCCCATATCAGTCTCTACAGCCACAGCAGGCGCTGTAACTCTCTCCCCCAAAGGCATATCCATTGTCTACCTTAACTGAAGATGCTGGAGGCTGACTGGAAAACTTCTGAACTGTTCTGCTATTTTTTGAGTGGCCTAGTTTACAGAGGACTGCCCTCCATCAAGACAGCATCTTAAAAAGCAGAGACATCACCTTGCCAACAAAGGTCCGTATAGTTAAAGCTATGGTTTTCCCAGTAGTGATGTATGGAAGTGAGAACTGGACCATAAAGAAGGCTGGTCGCTGAAGAATTGATGCTTTTGAATTATGGTGCTGGAGGAGACTCTTGAGAGTCCCATGGACTGCAAGAAGATCAAACCTCTCCATACTTAAGGAAATCAGCCCTGAGTGCTCACTGGAAGGACAGATCCTGAAGCTGAGGATCCAGTACTCTGGCCACCTCGTGAGAAGAGAAGACTCCCTGGAAAAGACCCTGATGTTGGGAAAGATGGAGGGCACAAGGAGAAGGGGGCAACAGAGGACGAGATGGTTGGACAGTGTTCGTGAAGCTACCAGCATGAGTTTGACCAAACTGCAGGAGGCAGTGGAAGACAGTAGTGCCTGGCGTGCTCTGGTCCATGGGGTCACGAAGAGTCGGAGACGACTAAACGACTAAACAACAACAACAAGCCCTCCATCTGAAGATGCCTTCAATTATTGTTGTTGTTGTTGTTGTTGTTAATTTGATTGTACGAAGTAACCTCAAAGCAATTGAAAGCACACACACCAAGAAACCTGAGAACTGTAGTTTGCCCCTCACAGAGCTACAATTCACAATAGCCTTAATAGAAGAAGAGGAGTTTGGATTTGATATCCTGCCTTTTACTTCCCTTCAGGAGTCTCAAAGTGACTAACATTCTCCTTTCCCTTCCTCCCCCACAACAAACACTCTGTGAGGTGAGTGGGGCTGAGAGACTTCAGAGAAGTGTGATGAGCAGAAGGTCACGCAGCAGCTCCATGGGGAGGAGCAGGGAAGCGAACCCGGTTCCCCAGATTACGAGTCCACCACTCTTAACCACTACACCACACTAAAGTTCCCAGGATTCTTGAGGGGGGGGTTGCGTTAAATGTATGGTGTATCCACAGCCCAAGTTTCCACCTAAATATATAAATCAGCATTTGCAGATTTTATGCGACATCAGTGTATTTGCTCATCCTCTGTTATAATGATACATTCCCCCCCTCCTTTTTGGTGATGCCTAAGTGGTCAACCTTGTTGCTGTTTTCCTATATTTTACTGTTTCTAGGGACTTTGATGATTGGCTTCTTATGACGCAGTCATGGCATTTCCTTCTCTCCAGATTCAGCAACAGGTGACTTTGCAAGGGAGATGACATCAGTGGCAATTCGATTTGTTTCCCCCAAGAATTTGCAAATGCGGGCAATAGTGACTGGGAATGAAGCATGCCGATTGCAACTTTTGCATTAAGGGAAAGGGAACTTTATTAGATTAGCATTGTAGAGACAGACCCACTAAAAACTAAAAGTGCCATGTTAGCTAATCATTACCCTGACAATAATTGTCACAAACAGAATTTCTTTATAGATTTTGGATGTTTCTTTTCAAACAAAAAGGCTTAGCAATTGTGAGCTAAAAGGATTTAAAAATTTAATCTTAAGGAGGAGATGTCCCCGAGTTCTGGGCTAAACAGCTTATAAAGGTCATAAAGAATTAACTTATCTTGCTGAATAAAGCCATTTTAATGCACTCTAAGCTACAAAGGAATCACTGCAGAAACCTTTAGGCCAGTGGTCCACTATATTTTTCTCTCATTAGTAAGGGCAGCAAATTTCTACATTTGGATTTTAACACTACAATTGTCTCTGATTCATTATTCTTCATGATTAAATAGAACGAGAGCACGGAGCCAGCTGGGCAAGAATATTCTGTCCTTATTTCATTGAGTCACTTTGCAACTAAAATAGGAATGTGGAATGTGGAGAGCAGGAATAGAGTTGTTACTTCAAGCAATTCCACTGAGGAGGTGGCCGGGGGACGGTGGGACAGGGACCAAGCTGGCTCCAGGCCACAGGACTGGATTAACCCTTAGACTAAATGCACCACAGTACTTTGCACAGTCTTGCCTGAGATCTTCTTTAATGGCAAAAGTGAGCGCCAGGGCATCTCATCTTATACCAGGGCAGTTCTTGCGAGGCAATACTTCTTCCTCAGGTGGAAGAGTAGTGTTGGCAGCAGATTTATGGAGGTAACTCCTGTTTGTCCAGGGTGATCCCATGTCCTGCTTTACAGAATCTTCTGTTTGAAGGTATCCTCTGTTTGAAGGACTACCTGCTCCGAGATAGCTCAGTTGGTTTGAGCGTGGCACTGATAACGCCAAGTTCACAGGTTTGATCCCTGCATGGGGCAGCTGCATATTCCTGCATTTCAGGGGGGTGGACTAGATGATATGGGAAGCGGGTGGCACTGTGGTCTAAACCACCGAGCCTCTAGGGCTTGCTGATCAGAAGGTCAGCGGTTCGAATCCCCGCAACGGGATGAGCTCCCATTGCTCCTGCCACCCTAACAGTTTGAAAGCATACCAGTGCAAGTAGATAAATAGGTACCACTGCGGCAGGAAGGTAAACGTGTTTCTGTGCGCTCTGGCGTTCCGTTGCGCTTGTTCTGCTGGCCATATGACCTGGAAAGCTGTCTGTGGACAAATGTCGGCTCCCTCGGTCTGAAAGCGAGATAAGCGCCGGAACCCCATAGTCTCCTTTGACGGGACTTAACTGTCCAGGGGTCCTTTACCTTACCTACTAGGATGATCCTCAGATACCCTTCCAACTCTATGATTCTGTTATAAGGAAGCCTAAGAATGGAGAGCAGAGCAGGGGCCTTGAAGCACCTGAATAGCAGACTGAGCAGACTCAGTGAGCATCTAAGTGATGGTAGGATTTTTTAATTTTGCCCAAATGTTCACCACTGTAAATTTGCGGGTGCTGATGTTCTTCCTTGAGAGCAAGAGGAGGAGCCTCCCAGTGGCCTTAGTGTTGGCATGCAGAGGGTCGCAAGGCCAGCTGGCTCGCCCCAGCTGTGTCGTCTCCTTCCAGCCGTCCTGCTGTGAAGACCCATCAGCCTCTGCTCCAATGTACATCAGCGACCCGGGCTTCAAAGCCAGGGCACACTATTTCAGCACAGTGAACTGCGCACACAGAATAGGCGTGAGGCTTGTGGAAGCATACTACAACTACAGATTTATTAATCATAAATCAGGACCAAGAAACATGCCGTCTCTCTTTTTCTTCTCAGAGAGAAGCAAAAGCAATAGACAACAGAAGTTCCCAGCAAGCTGTGCTGGAATGTAAACAGACATGCGACACGCAACAGTTCCATGTCTGCCCCTTAAGGTAGAATGGAAATCTCAACACTTAGATCACCTGGCATATGACATTGGCCAGAGTGTGTTTCTGTTCAGCTCTGGCGTCCCAAGTAATGGGCAGTTGGAGCAAAATATTATTTCATGCAGGGAAGGGAGAAGCAAGCTGCCTACGGTTCCTCCTTACCTAGCCAAAGGATGGAGCCAGGTTGGACTTTCAATTGTCATTATTTTCTTTCTGGGTGATGTGGGGCAGCATCCTAGTGGTCCTTGGTATCTCGGTCAGCAGCAGAGCTAGTGTAGGGCTCCCAGTTAGTATATGCTTCCCAGTTAGAGCAAAGATTACTGTTCTTTGTATTTGGCCACTGAAAGGCTGCTCTCCCTGCTTCCCAGGCAAATGAGAGACCAGCCTAACCAGTAAAGAAAAGTAACATTTGCTTTCTTCTTTCCTCCTCATACTTTTCTTCTTTTTATATTGTATTATCGTAGGGTGTGGAGTTGGGCTTTTTTCCTTACTACTAAAGGGTGGAACATCAATGTGTAAAATAAACTATAATACTCTGAAACAAGCAACAAACACAGAAAAAGGAAGAACTGAAGGGCGGGGGAAGCAGGGGGAATAGTATCTGAGCTTCCATTGCCTGGAACAAAACTGCTTTTGAAACTGAAGGCAAATGTTAGAATTCCAAAACATTCAATGTTAGATTTGGGTGGGTGGGTGACTCACTGCATTGACAAAAAGTTTTTTTCTGAGTTTACCAACTTAGTGGAAAATTATTCCACATGTTAAAGATTGCTTTTTAAAATCCAAATATGTTCAGGAAATTTTATTATTAAGAGGAGGTTTGAAGTAAATTGCATTATTCCTACTTAGTATTCCTGGTATAAGAAATGGCTTACAGCACTGGATAGCAGATTAAAACAAAAAGAAAGAGAGGAAACTTTGGGATAGATGTATTCTCTTATGGTTGCAATTTTTCCCCATTTTGATTAGAACAGCCTCAGACCAACCATATTATTTATTGCAGATTAAATCAAGGGGGGGTCATCCTTCATGTCCTCTCTTAATCACAATGATGACAATACAAATTTGACATGGTGCTGATCTCCATGCAATGGAATCTTTGATCAAGCTTTAATTTCCTAAGATCTGAACATTTTAATCTCCATCTTTAAAACATGTCATTAAGACCTAAAATGAAAGGGGCAATGAAACCTTAGAGGTGGAAGCACAATAAGTAGCACCTTAGGGCTGGCCCACACACTTTTCCTAGGGGGAAGTGCCACCAAAATTGCACAAATTGCTGTCAGTCATCTTTTTGGCCATCCAGCTCATGAGTCAGGCTAGCCCAGGCATAGGCAAACTCAGCCCTCCAGATGTTTTGGGACTACAACTCCCATCATCCCTAGCTAACAGGACCAGTGGTCAGGGATGATGGGAGTTGTAGTCCCAAAACATCTGGAGGGCTGAGTTTGCCTATGCCTGGGCTAGCCCGTGCAAATCCATACCCGAGGATGGATCAAGAATGCTTATATAGATGGAAAAGTCTTTTTGCATATCCTAGGCCTGGGAAGAAATGGCCTTAGCTGCACTGATACAAGCAGGGACTATCCAGGGGTTGCCAAGCTTTTGTGGGCACATTTGCAAAACGGATAAACTGTTGTGGGCACCACACACACAACGCAATACAACCACCTACCGCAACCTAGTATCTTGGCTACAATCAAATGCTTTTTTCGAGCCTAATTCCAGTAAGGGATCCCATGTGCACCATGCAGCAGGCACATTTATACCCATGGGCACCACACATTGGTGACCTCTGGCATAGCCTCCCTCTCCAAAGATCTACACCACAACCATTTCTTGTAGGCAACAGAGCCTTGAAATAACTAAGTGGGGTGGAAGCTCATAAAGGTTCCCTTCAGGAGCCAACATGTGGTGACCTCTTATGCAAATACCCAAGAAGCTCTAGACAGGGCCAGGCTAAGGTATTTTGCTGTCTGAGATGAAGGGCAGGATGATGCCCTCCCCCCATTCCATATGCAGAAGCCAAACAGACTGGAAATGGACTCTTACCTCAGTCATGGCAACAGGACAACGTCCTCCACCCCACTAGGGGGCATCAGGCAAAGGTGAATGTTGAATACAAAGCTCTGTCCCCCAGTACCTCTCTACTGATCCCCACCAACAGCACCTGCTGTTTTACTCTGCCTAATGGTAGGGCCATCCCTGGTGCTTGGTACCCAAATCTGCATGTTTCTTGGTTCTGCTTTTTAGTATTTATTTCCCATATGGCCTAAGATACAATAAAAAACGGGGGTGAAGAATCTCAGCCTGCCTCTAGGCTTCTCTCTCTGGTCTCAGGACTCTGCCCAGGCCATGCCCCATTGCTAGGTCATACCCCTCAATGGTCAGACTCTGCACCCTACTTTCTTGATTGGAATGTGATTGCAATGTGTCCTTGAGCTGTAATAATATATCTTGCTTGCCAAGATGGAGGATAGATGGTTGCATGTTTGACCTCTGGAAGACTAGCCATGAGGAAGTGTGAAAAGTCAACAAGAGCCTTCCTCATATCTCCAGAAAACATAGAACAAAATATATTAAATTATCTAGGAACATGGAATTCCAATGTGAATCAGGTCCCGACCCCAATAAACCTGTTGTCCCTTTTCCTAACCTAAAAATACTGTCATCCTTGCAGTAGCCTAAATCTTATGCATGATTACTCTGAAGTAAGCCCCATTTAGTGGGACTTACACAAGCAAGCATGCACAGAATTGAAGCCTTTCCCCTGCCTTCCAATAAGATGCAGTTACCAGCTTTCCAGGCTGGTAAAAGTAAAGGTAAAGGGACCCCTGACCATTAGGTCCAGTCATGGCCGACTCTGGGGTTGCGGCGCTCATCTCACTTTACTGGCCAAGGGAGCCAGAGTACAGCTTCCAGGTCATGTGGCCAGCATGACTAAGCCGCTTCTGGTGAATCAGAGCAGTGCACGGAAACGCCGTTTACCTTCCCACCGGAGCGGTACCTATTTATCTACTTGCACTTTGACATGCTTTCGAACTGCTAGGTTGGCAGGAGCAGGGACCGGGCAATGGGAGCTCACCCCGTCACGGGGATTCAAACCGCCGACCTTCTGATCGGCAAGTCCTAGGCTCTGTGGTTTAACCCACAGTGCCACCCGCGTAGTTGTAACCAAATCAGAGTGCTCAGCTGATTGCCAGAAGCAGCAAAATGATGCAAATAAATGGATCTTAAGGTACCATAGATGTGACCATCGCATTATTTCATCAGCGTATCTTAATACAGTGGTGCCCCGCAAGACGAATGCCTCGCAAGACGAAAAACTCGCTAGACGAAAGAGTTTTCCGTTTTTTGAGTCGTTCTGCAAGACGAATTTCCCTATGGGCTTGCTTCGCAAGACGAAACTTCTTGCGAGTTCTTGCAGTTTGTTTCCTTTTCTTAAAGCCGCTAAGCCGTTAATAGCCGCTAAGCCGCTAATAGCCGCTAATAGCCGCTAAACCGCTAATAGCCGTGCTTCGCAAGACAAAAAAACCGCAAGATGAAGAGACTCGCGGAACGGATTAATTTCGTCTTGCGAGGCACCACTGTATATGTTTCCAAAATCAGATGGTAAGTCGACAATGACCGTTCTGTTCTCTCAAGTTGGCATCAATTAATGAAGTCAATGAATGCATGGATTCAAAGGGAAATGGCGCTTAAAGTGAATTCCATGTGACTCGGCCTGTAATGCACACACACAAATACTTTCATCCAGATGTGCTCATATGCACTCATGAATCTCTCTTGCATGCTCACACTGCAAGTAAATAGGGGGACCATTCTGAGGGCTGGCAAATTCTGTATACATTCCTGAGATCCCATACCTTGAACGGATTAAAGTGTTGTGGTGAAAATGTTTGTTTTTCAAACAGTGCTCCCATATCTCAAGTTCATCTTGCAGAATATTAACATAAATATTATGCTAAAAATAACACTGAGCAGTACAACGAGTGGTTAGCTAATGAATTCGTAACCCGTAGCAAA